ATTATTTTCACCTTGGCATTTTGGAATGCTAGAATGATTTAACAACACACACACCCCGAAGGTATCACTAGTGGCCTGAGCACCGTGACTAGAGAAATATCCTCTGCATTTACAAAGGAGAGTTTGGTGTGTGATGATAGACTGACTTTAGAATGCTCTTACAAAAGAGATAACAATGGGGTCTGTTTTCAGTGCCAAGTAAATATTCATTTTTTCCATAAGTACTGTAAATATTTAGGTTTTCATTAAAAATGTTGAAAGTTTAATTTCTCTTAATTTCTGTTTATTAATGTTATTATATTTACGAATAAAGGTGTCGAAGGATAATGTTGCAGGATCCAATCTGGATTGGTCACCGGGACTAGAGGTTTTCTCTTCTGAACTTTTGGACTCGTGCTGGAGCCCATCTTCAGCGATCTTCTCTTATTACGTTTACTTGGTTTATTATAATGTTATGTACCCTTTCCTATTTAGGAACACCTTGTAGATAGAATAAATTTGATGATAACAAAGGTTTCATTTTTTTTTAAAAAAATGAAAATACCATGTATCCTTGGGACAGGGAATTTTTGAAAGGAGCAGAATATGTGGAGTAAAAATGGTAGGTCCCTTTTTTTTCCATTTCTTAGCCAACAAAAAAATCTCATTGATTCCATGGGACTTTTTCCTAACACAAATAGCTATGCTGGGAAGCAATTTTGGAAAGGATCATAATTGGCTGTGAAAATAAACATCCCTTTCTATGCATTATGACTCCAGTGAAAAACGGTGTCCCCACTCATGATTCCAAAGAAAGGAAAGGAAGCTTATATTGATATGTATGATGAGTAGAAAGGACACTCTCATGGGTAATGCCAAATTGAAGACCTTTCACATTTCAACTATTATAATTTCAAGGCAGCTGGTGTATATTCCTTATCCTTGTTTGGAGACATGTAAGGAAAATGGCAGGGTACAGTTTATTTATTTATTTATGAGACTTATATACCGCTTTAAGTGCAAGCACTCTCTAAGCGGTGTACACCAGTAAGCAATGTATATATATATTTACATTGCCCCCAACAATCTGGGTCCTCATTTTACCTATCTCGGAAGGATGGAAGGCTGAGTCAATCTTGAGCCGGTGAGATTTGAACCGCTGACCTGCTGAACAGTCAGCTAAAGTGGCCTGCAGTACTGCACTCTAACTGCTGCGCCACCTCGGCTCATTTAATTTAATTTAGTTTAATTCTAGGTTTCCCCAATCTGCTCCCACAGAATGTATCCCCCTGTTTACAATAGAAACATTAACTATGGAGGAGCAAATGTGGCAGATATTTGTGAAATTGCAAAGAACAGAATCCAAAAGTAGGTATTTTTTTTAAAAAAACTTGTGGATTCCTCTCCATATGCTGAGAATATGATTGAAAGTTTCCTATGTCCACTACCCACATGACATATGACATTACTGTATTTCCCAAGACTAGATTGTTTATTGTAGGATAGAGAATTAAGGAGAGACCAATCTATACCAAAGTTTCTCAACCTTGACAACATTAAGATGTAGATTTCAACTGCCAGAATTTCCAAACTGGCAAATGATCTCTCAATATTCTCTGCTACTGTTTCTGTTTCTCAACAGTAAATGACTGAAACACAGCATTGCATCTTAAAATAAAATAATACAAAACAATCATTAATATTATTTGGCTGCTAAGAGCTTCAAGCATAGTTTTGTTCAGGAATGCCATTTATTTCATTATTAATAACAATACAACTATATCTTCTTTTCATATTCAAAATTTCAAGATATGAAACAAAGTAGAACACTATATATTATTCCAGATAGCTACCCTGGGAAATCAGAAAGAATTGCCAAGCTATGAATAACGCATTTGTATTTAAATAAAAGAAACAAGAAAGTTTTTTAAAATTCAGAAAATATTAGCCAAGGTTTTCAAGCAAAACCATCACTCTGTGGGCTTTACAAATAATCCTTGATTGATAACTATAATTAAGTTCACAATTATAGTCATAAGTTATGGCTGTTATTAAGCTGGTTGTTGTGTCCTGAGCCTGCAAAAGGAGGCTCGGGACATTGCAAGGTCCTGGGCAATTGCAAAAGCTGCCCAGACTGAGTGACGCCGGCCTTGTGCGCATGTGCAAGGTGCAAAAGCACTTGGTAATTGTTGCCATTTGGTCCGGGTCTCTGAGTTGTTAAGAGAGGCTGCTTGCCTGGTAGATTGCCAGATTGGAAAAAGCTGTTACTAATAAAAGACTGCTGTGTTCAAGATGAGGCTCCTCACTCTTCATTACTCTCAGGATGTAACGCTGGCGACAAAGGTGGGATTCTGCAAAACTCACCTTGAAATCCTGAAGAGGGGAAAGTTGGCGTTGGAAGCAGCGTCTCAGGACTATCAGTACAGCATCGCTGAAGGGTGAGCTTGGCTGAATAACCCTTTCCCCCCATATTAGAAAGAGTAGAGAGAAAATGGTGAAGATTGGGTGTATTTCTGAGTTCGACATTGCTCATCCAGAAAGATGGGACTCTTATGTTGCCAAAGTGGAAAATTATTGTAGAGTAAACCAAATAAGGGAAGATGGATCAAAGGCTGCAATGCTGTTGTGTGTTTGTGGTCAGGAGGCATTTGAAATAGCTGAGAACCTAGTGGCCCCTGCACTTCTAGAGTCAGTTACGTTTACTGGCTTGAAGAAATTGTTAAAGGAACATTTCCAGCCTAGATTGTCTGTGATAGCATGGAGACACACATTTGAGCAAAGAGACCAGAGGGCAGGTGAATCTGCTAAAGACTTTATTGCAGCCTTAAGGAGAGCAGCCAAGCCTTGTGAGTTCAAGGATCTGGAAGAGAGGCTGCGAGATCACTTCATTTGTGGTTTAACAAACAGAGACTTGCAGCAGAAACTTTTTGCCAGAGAAGATATTTCCTTCCAAGATGCTCTAAGGAAAGTGATGGCTGAAGAAGCAGCTGGAGGAACTGTAAGGTCTTTACGGCCTACCAGGAATATTCCTGAAACAGCAACTGTTCATCAGAAAGACATCAAAGATGAGTCAGAGACAGATCCTGAAGACCAGGTGAATAGACTTTAGCTGCCATCGGGGAAGAAGCAGAAGGGGCATCTGGACAAGGCCTCTACAGCCATCAAATGCTTCGGATGCGGTGGAAGCCACAAGAAAGCTGAGTGCAGGTTCTGGTCTGCCATATGCAGAGGGTGTGGAAAGTGAGGCCACATTGCAGCTGTATGCTTGAGTCAACAGAAGGTACAACCACCGGAAGAATTGCGTCTGAAAGGTACCAGGGTCCCCAGCCAAAACAGAGTGGGTTTCTGCGCATCGCGCAGGAGTATTTTGAGAACAGGAACACATAAACCCTTAAAGAAAAAACTGTCTTTAAAAGTAAAGCTGCAAGGGGTTCCTATAGCTATGGAGTTGGACACAGGGTCTGCTCTCTCTATTATTTCTAACAATACATTTAGGAAAATTTGCAATAGTAGTGACATTCGAGCCAAACTAAGACCATCAAACATAATTCTCACAGACTTTCAAAATTCTAAAGTGTGTGTTAAGGGCCACCCTTAACGTGCAGTATAAGGATTTTGAAGGTCTCTAGACGTGTTGGTAGTGGGGGGGGGGAACGCACGAGCCTTATTAGACTTGATTGGTTCGAGGCCCTGGGCATCCAAATCACTGGGCTGCACAGTTTGCAAACATCATGCCTGGCAGAAGTCTGCAAGGAATTTGCAGATGTGTTTAGTTCAGAGCTTGGATCCTTCAAGGGGCCTCCAGTCTCATTGAGGTTAGACCCAACAATCACCCCCATCAGGGTTAAGCCAAGGAGGGTATCCTTTGCCCTCAAGGCCAAGATTGATGCTGAACTGGACAAGCTGATACAGCAAGGTATTTTAGATTCAAGCCCATGGGAAACCCCTATAGTAACGCCTTTAAAGGCTAATGGGGAGATACGTATTTGTGCAGATTACAAATGTACACTAAATAAAGCTTTATAACAGCATGCTTATCCAGTTCCAGTGGTAAGTTACATTCTGGCATCTCTTAAGGGGCGCAGCATCTTTGCAAAGCTTGACCTGGCACAGGCCTACCAACAGTTACCTGTTGATGAGGCAGCTGCAGAAGCACAAACTATAGTCACTCATAGAGGAGCTTTTAAGGTCAAGAGACTGCAATTTGGGGTTAGTGTAGCCCCTGGCATATTCCAAAGCATCATGGAAAGCATGCTGCGTGGAATTCCAGGGGTCTGCCCCTACTTTGATTATATCCTCATTGCTGGGGAGTCATCTCAAATGCTAGCTGAGAGATTAAGAGCTGTCTTGCTTCGTTTCAGAAAAGCAGGCCTTAAACTGAAAAAGGAAAAATGCAAAATTGGAGTCAATTAAACTGAATTCTTGGGATTTATAATAGATGCCCAGGGTATCCACCCTGCTGAAGGCAAGCTGCGAGCTATACAAGAGGCCCTAGCCCTAAATCCAAGGGTGAATTGCAAGCCTTCCTGGGCCTCTTAAATTTTTATCATGCCTTCCTACCTCAAAAGGCGGAGCCATTACATAGGCTCTTGGACAAACAGGCTCCTTGGCAGTGGACTAAGGTCCATGAAAAGAGTTTCAATGAGGTTAAGGCCTTGCTAACTTCCAATACTGTCTTAGCTCATTTCAACGAGCAGCTGCCTATGTGCATTGCCTGCGATGCATATCCTTACAGGGTAGAGGCAGTACTCAGCCATCTGAAGGCTGATGAGACTCAGGTTTCTGTAGCTTATTATTCCAGGACCCTGTCTCCTGCTGAGTGTAACTATGCTCAGATTGACAGAGAGGCTTTGCCATAGTGGCTGGCATTAAGAAATTTCATGATTTCTTATATGGCCGCAAATTTACAGTCTATACTGACCATAAGCCTCTCTTGGGGTTGTTTACCACAAACAAACAGACCCCAAATATCATTTCTCCTCGTATGCTGAGATGGTCCATTTTTCTGTCAGCATACGACTTTACCTTAATTCACAAATCAGGAAAAGATATGGGTCATGCTGATGGCCTGAGTAGATTGCCCTTGCAGCAATTGGAGCCTGATCCGGCTCCAGCTGTTCATACTCTGTCAATTCAGGAATTAACAGAGTGTCCCCTCAATGCCAGGGATGTGGCTGCAGAAACTGCCACTGATCACACACTCACACGTGTTGCCATGGGTATTGTCAGGGTGGCCTGACAAGTATTCCGATACGGAGTTTCAGAGCTTCTGGAACAAGAAGCATGAGTTTTCCACTTTCAAAGGTTGCCTGTTATGGGGTAGCAGGGTTGTGATTCCTACCTTGTTGAGGTCTATAATCTTGTCCTCTCTGCATGAGGGACATCCAGGTATTGTCAGGATGAAAGCGCTTGCGCGCAGCCATCTTTGGTGGCCTGGTCTCGATAAGGCTATCGAGGCCCAGGTTCATGGGTGCCAAGCGTGCCAATAGTCCTGGCCTGAAATGCCTCAGGCCCCAGTACACAGGTGGGAGGAAACTCAATTCCCTTGGTCCAGGGTGTATATAGATTACGCTGGGCCCTTTCAGGGGCAATTCTTCCTCATTGTGGTCGACAGCCATTCCAAATGGCTAGAGGTTGTTCCTGTTTCCTCCAATACTACTGCCAGCACCATCCAGGTGTTGAGAAGCATTTTTGCGTCACATGACCTTCCAGATGTGCTGGTTTCAGACAATGGTCCTCAATTTACTTATTCTGAGTTTGTATTTGTATTTTGTATTTAATTTTATTTATATGCCGCCCAATCCCAAAGGACTCAGGGCGGCGTACATAGTTAAAACAATCATAAAACAATAAAATAAAGCAGTCATACCGCGAGTCCAATCATATCCCGCCCCCCCCGGGGACATCAGCCCCAGGCCTGCCGGAACAGGAGAGTTTTAACGGCTTTCTTAAAGGCCGGCAGGGTGGGAGTAGTTCGAACCTTGGGGGAAGTTGATTCCACCAGGTCGGAGCCACCACAGAAAAGGGCCTTCCCCGAGGGCCCACCAGCCGACATTGTCTGGCCGACGGGACCTGAAGGAGGCCCAATCTATGGGACCTCACCAGTCTCTGGGAACTGTGCGGCAGAATGCGGTCCTGTAAGTAACCTGGCCCTATGCCATGAAGGGCTTTAAAGGTGATAACCAACACCTTGAATTGCGTTCAGAGACCCACAGGAAGCCAGTGCAGCTCGCGGAGGATAGGTGACACGTGGGCGTACCTTGGCGCACCCACAATCGCTCTCGAGGCTGCGTTCTGAACCAACTGCAGCCTCCGAACGCCCTTCAAGGGTAGCACCATGTAAAGCGCGTTACAGTAATCCAGTCTTAAGATGACAAGGGCATGAGTGACTGTGAGTAAAGCCTCCCGGTCCAAATAAGGCCGGAAATGGTGCACTAGGCGAACCTGTGCAAAGGTCCCCCTGGCCACAGCTGATAGATGTTGTTCCAAATTTAGCTGTGAGTCCAGGAGGACACCCAAGTTGCGTGCCTGCATTGAGGGAGGTAAATTTGCCCCCGCCAGGACTAATGATGGACCATCCAGTTGGCCTTTGGGAGGCAAGACCCAGAGCCACTCGGTCTTGTCAGGGTTGAGTCTAAGCCTGTTCACCCCCATCCAGACCCTCACATCTTCCAGGCACCGGCACATCACGTCGACTGCTTCACTGAAAGGACACGGGGTGGAGATATATAATTGGGTATCATCCGCATACTGATGATACCTCACCCCGTGTCGCCGAATGATCTCACCCAGCGGTTTCATGTAGATGTTAAAAAGGAGGGGGGACAGGACCGAGCCCTGAGGCACCCCATGATCGAGGCGCCTAGGGGTCGATCTCTGTCCGCCCGCCAACACCGACTGCGACCTGTCAGAGAGGTAGGAGGAGAACCACCGCAATACGGTGCCGCCCACCCCCACCTCTCTGAGACGACGCAGAAGGATACCATGGTCGATGGTATCGAAAGCCGCTGAGAGGTCAAGAAGCACCAGGATAGAGGAATAACCCCTATCCCGGGCTCACCAGAGGTCATCGGTCAGTGCGACCAAAGCAGTCTCAGTGCTGTAGCCGGGCCTGAAACCAGATTGAAAAGGGTCCAGATAATTAGTTTCATCCAAGGATCGCAAGAGTTGGGACGCCACCACCTTCTCTACAACCTTCCCCACAAAGGGGAGGTTGGAGACGGGACGAAAGTTCTTCAAAACAGCTGGGTCCAGGGAAGGCTTCTTGAGGAGGGGCCTCACCACCGCTTCCTTTAAAGGTTGCGGGAAAGACCCCTCCATCAAGGAGGCATTGATTATCACCTGGAGCCAGCCTCGTGTCACCTCCCTACTGGCAGAAACCAGCCAGGAGGGGCACGGGTCCAATAAACAGGTGGCAGCATTCATTGCCCTCACGGCCTTGTCCACTTCATCAGGAGTCACAGGCTCAAACTTGCTCCAGATAACATGACTAAGACCAGCCCCTGGCAACTCGGCTGGCACTGCCCAGTCGGAGTCCAGGTCTCTCTGAATCTGAGCGATTTTGTCCGAAAGAAACTGAACAAACTCCTCAGCTGTCCCCTGCAAGGGTTCCTCTGCCTCCTCCACTTAAAGAAGGGAGCGGGTCACCCTAAGCAAGGTGGCTGGGCGAGATTCTGCGGACGCAATAAGTGCGGAAAAGTGAAAACGCTTTGCCGCCCTTATCGCCACTAAATAAGTCCTAAGATAGGCTCTTAATAGTGATCGGTCAGATTCAGAGTTACTGGCCCTCCAACAACGCTCTAGACATCTCTTGTGGCGCTTCATCTCCCGGAGCTCCTCAGTAAACCAAGGCGCCCTCCGGGGACCACCACCACAGAGAGGTCACAAAGGCGCAATTCGATCCAGGGCCCTGGACGCCGCCTCATTCCAGGCCGCAACCAGGGACCCGGACGAGTTGTGGACAAGGGAGTCAGGTATTTCCCCAAGGGAACCGATTTGGGTCCATTAGGCACCTGGGGCGGAACCACCTAGTCGGCTCCCTCTCCCTGCGATGGGAGAGTGATGCTCTGAAGTCCAGCCTCAATAGGAAATGATCTGTCCATGACAAGGGCAAGATCTCTATTCCCCTTAATTCCAGATCATGTCTCCATTGCCCCGAGTGAAACACAAGGTCGAGTGTGTGACCACCCCTATGAGTCGGATCCTGAATTTCCTGGGTCAGGTCCCTGGTTGCCATGGAAGCCATGAACTCCTGCGCCGCCTCTGAGCGATCGCCAAGTGATGGTAGGTTAAATTCCCCAGTACTATAAGTCTGGGGAACTCCACCGCCAATCCGGCTACTGACTCCAGCAACGCAGGCAGGGCTGTTGCAACACAGCTGGGAGGTAGGTACATCAGCAGCAAGCCCAACTGAACCCATGAACCCAAGTTCAATAGGAGGGACTCACACCCAACAACCTCCGGGGCAGGAATCCCACAAGGACTCAAGGACTTCCGAGCGATGACTGCCACTCCCCCACCCCTGCCCTGATGTCGAGGCTGATGAAGCACCACAAACCCGTCCGGGCACATCTCCAAGAGGGAAACACCCCGCTCAGGGCCCAGCCAGGTTTCGGTTATACATGCCATGTCCGCCCCACTGTCCAATATTAAATCACGGACAAGGGGGGGTTTGCTGACAACGGACCTGGCATTAAGCAACAGCAGCCTACAATTAGGGCCCTGTACTCCCCTGTCACCAGTACTACAGGATGAGCCTTTTGAGGGGCCGGAACAAGGAATCGCTCTAACATAGCAAGTCCTCGTTCCCCAAAGATGGCTTGCCTCTCGGCTCCTGCCATATCTGCCCATCCCAGTCATAACCGGGATGCTCCGACCTTCTCCCCTCCCCGGAGTACCTCCACCCTCACCAGCCTTCTCCCTTCCTGACCGGACTTGCTTTCCATACAGACCAAGCCCAAGGGTAAGTCCTGCCCCCCCACTTTTGCTATTGCACTCAGCAGAGGGGGTACCAGGCTCCGCCCCCGAGTCCACCATTCTCATACCCCAAACACTCAATACACATTCACACTCAATTTATATACATAAAAATAAAAATATTCACATTCATACTCCCTAAATACAATAATAAAATTTATACATAACAGGGCCACCATTCATCTACATGCATACACACACCCACAACAAACATTCTCTAAAAAATAATATTGCCCCTCTGTGTCCCAGGCTGGTCCAATGTGGCCGGCTAGGTGATCATTAGGTACTTATCTTGGGACAGACCGTACTTGGCCTTATGCTCCTCAAAGAGCTGGGTCAACTTCTCCAAGTACCTCTCGTGCAGCTCATCAATGGCTTCTCCGGACATCCAACAATTGTGTAAAGTCAACCCAGCCACGGCGGGACGGCTAGTCAAACTGAGGCTCCTTAAAGCTGAGTTGGTTTCAATTGCTGGGACCGCAGCCGGGAATGGAGAACGTAACAACACCTCTGAGCATGTACAGAGTAGATTTCTAGGCCACAAGCTCGCCTCTCCCACTCCTTTCACGATGTGGCACTCGATGACGGGCCCGAACTCCTGGAAGAGGACGCGCAGCTCGCCGCTGGTGCAGGCGGCCGAGACGTTGCCCATGAAGGTCTTGACGGTGTGGGTGGGCCTCGGGCGGGAGAACTCCACGACCACGCGGTGGCAGTGCAGGAGGTGCCCATTGAGCTTCTGGATGGCGCGCTCGGCCGCCGCCTCGTTGCACAGGTGGATGAAGGCGAACTGCTTCATGAGGGCCACCTTCACCACCACGCCCGGCACGGCCGCCTTGAAGAGGTCGCGCAGCTCCACCCGCGATGCCCCCCCAGGCACGCCGCCCATGAGCACCTCCACGCCCGGCTGCACCGGGCCCGCCCATCCCTTGGAGGCCCGGAGAGAAGGAAAGAAGCCAGATGACGTGGATCCACAAAATGGCGCCCGTGAGAGAGACGCGGCCCCCCTCCGGCAACAGTCCTTCTGCCTCTTGTGACCTGGCGGGCACGCTGGCTCCGAGGCTGCGGGGGAGAGGGTGGGGGAGAGGGCGAGCAATGCTGGCGGGTCCTCCACTGCCGGTGAGATCCGACGCTGGGCTGGGTTGTGCCGCGACTTCGCCTCAGAACCTCCAGACTGGCTGAATGTTTTAAAGATGTTTTAAAGATGTTTTAAAGATGTTTTAAAGATGAATATTGAAGCCAGTGGCACTTTTCCTTCTTTCCCGGAAAACCCCGCATTGCCTTTCCGGGCAGCGACCCTCTGCCTCGGGAAGAGTCGCCGCCTCTCCCAGGCCCTGGCGCTTGTCCTCGCTCACTAATTCCAGTTCCAGGCTTTCCTGCAAGCCAACATGATCTGGCACGTGATGTCGGCTCCCTTCCACCCGTCCTCCAACGGAATGGCTGAGAGAATGGTGCGCACTACCAAAGATGCCCTCAAGCGATTGGCTTATGGTAACTGGCATCACAGGTTAACATATTTCCTTCTTGCACACTGCACCACACCATGCACTGCCATGGGAAAGAGCCTTGCTGAACTCCGCTGTGGTCACCGCCTCATAACAAAGCTGGACAGGCTGCATCCTGACTGGGTAGCTTCACAGGTGTCACAACCATGGGCACCTAGGAGACTCCAAGTGGGTGATCCAGTCTGGGCATGCAGCTATGGACCTGGTCATCTCTGGGTGACAGCTGTGGTCTGCAAGGCCTCGGAACCATTGTCGTACGAAGTGACATTGGATGATGGCCGTGTCATTTGCAGACACATAGATCAGCTGCGTTGGAGATTGGACTCACTCTTCCGCTCCTGGCTCTGCTTTGGGGGGGAGGGGGATGATAATATGCAGTATGAAGATTCAAGGGATAGGGGGTTTCCCCACTTATCCACAACTACTCCAGACAGGGAGACATACCGGGGTTGTCCACATTACTCACCTTCAACAGATAATACTCCAGACAGGGAGTTTGACAGGGGGTATCCTCATATTTCACAAGAAAACACTGACCAGGAATTCCAGCAAGGGCAAGGGTACATCCCGGAAACTACCTCACAAAGGAAGTCCACAGGAAAAGGGGTGGCCAGGGAGGCGACTCCTGACTCCGGCACCTCAGGCACAGGTGGGAAAGCTCCAGAGCACTGGGGTAACTCTGATACCCAGCACCCAGAATCGGCTGGCCTTGGGTCCGAGGGACAGTGCTCCCAAGGAAGTTCCATTGTGGACCTGGGGACTACCACCCCTCCAAGGTATGCTGGCTTGGATGTAGAGGGTCTGGCCAGCCAGCTGATGGGCAGGTCGACCGGGTATGTGGGGCAACAAAGTCCTGGACTGTGGGGCCTGGCTACAGGGACATCTATGGTTGAAGAGCAGCAATGTACAGGCTCACCTGGCCTGGCAGGCGAACAGGTGGGCCCAGAACCCTCGCCAGGTCTGAGAAGGTCGCAACAGACCAAACACCCACCCAAATACCTGAGGGAATATGTTAACCTGCAGTCCAGTTCCAGGGGGACTGCGTAGGGGGCCCCAAAAATAACTGGGCAGTATTATTATTATTATTATTATTATTTGGTTTCTGATACATGTATTCCCAACACGATGGGGCGTTGCCCAATTCAATATCGGGTATTCCACATTCAATGCATTTGATTAATGGACTGCATAACACTCTCACTAGAAACATCGTGTGAGATTGGATAGGCATGTTTCTTCTAAGGGAGAGGGGTATTGTGTCCTGAGTCTGCAAAAGCAGGCTCGGGATCTTGCAAGGTCCTGGGCAATTGCAAAAGCTGCCCAGGACCAGACTGAATGACGCCGGCCTTGTGCGCACGCGCAAGGAGCGAAAGCACTTGGTAATTGTTGCCATTTGGTCCGGGTCTCTGAGTTGTTATGAGATGCTGCTCGCCTCGTAGATTGCCAGATTGGAAAAAGCTGTTACTAATAAAAGATTGCTGTGTTCAAGATGAGCCTCCTCACTCTTCATTACTCTCAGGATGTAACACTGGTCACCATAGGACCATGCCTGATTTTATGACTTTTTTTGTGGTGGTTCTTTGGTGAACATCTTAGTCATTGGGCAAACAAGTGTTTGTTAAGCAAACTTGTTTTACCCAATGAACATTTTTTTGCCAGAAACGAAAGGTAAATATTGGAAACCAGGAAAAAAAAATCATGGTTATGTGACAGTGAGAAACTGCAAACAGCCATAAATGTGTGCCAAGTACCCAAAATACAATTGCATAATTGTAGGATGTGTGCGGCAATCAGAACTCTGGAACTGGGTTGTAAGGCAGTTTGTCATAACTTTGAATGGTCACTAAGTGACTGATCATTAAGTAAGAACTACGTATATCTTTGTTTGATTTTTTTTATATTAACCTAGGCAATTCATTCTTATTTTAAAGTGGATGAAAATCTTTTATCTCCCTACTTGTAGCTTCTGGGAACTGAGTCAGCATTTCTTTACATATAGAATATGTGCTTTTCTTTGGAAGATTAATGTAGAACAGGTCATCTTGGAACAAATGGCATGGCTGCGATATTCATGTCTGGCATTATAGAGCTGTAATGTTAAGAACATAAGACCAATGAAGGTTTAGAATAATGGCTAATTAGGTCAGCATTCTATTCTTTCAAAGTCATTCATGCTCAGCTTGAAAACCACAAGGAAGACATTAAGACAAGAGTGTCCTCCTAGCCATACACCCTGTAATTGGCATTCAGAGGAGATTTCTACTGATAGAAGAGGTGAAATATAGCCATTACTATTAGCAGCACTATAGCAATGATGGTTTTACTGATAGTCTCTGTACTAATGGTCACATGACAGTAAAGCATTCCATCTTTTGTTTGGCTTTCTTAACAGCTTCATGATGTATTGCTTCTGTGATCATCTGTTTCAATTAACAATTACAGTCAAAGCACAAGCTTCGTTAAGAGCATCCATTCAAATAGTTGCATCCTTGCATATGCATTAAGTATGCTATCCAGTCATGCAAAGATGGAGGGTGGAGATTCTGCCCTTAAGATTAGATAAGCCATTTCATCACATTAAAGTTCCTTTTTTACATAAAGGTTAATTACAGGCTAGGTTTCTCCTGTATAAAATATGTATAAAATATAAGTATAAGTATATATAAAATAAGTAGAAGTATAAAATAGGATCTTTACTTTTCAATCTGTGTGACTATATTCTACTGACAAACCAGTGTCTACCATTTAAAGAGCTAAACGTCCTTGAATAATGCCCAGCAGAGCAGAGATTCAATTAAGAACTAGTCAGGTGTATTCAGGTATAACCAGATTTTGAAGAAATTTTGCTCAAAACAGCTTGGTATACTGTTTAAAATCCCAAACTAATAAAGTAATTTATTAGTTAGTAATGAAAATAAAGAGGCAATTACTATTTATTGGCTATGAAGCTTGAATTCCAGATGTTTGGTAATACAATCTCAATAATTCCTAACCTGTATATTGATTTGAGCTTCTGGAAATTATAGTCTAAAAAGGCACCTACTTTTCCATCCCAGTACAGGGGGGACTGTGCTTATCTAACACATATTGAAATATTTACATAAATGTTTCACTTCTTTCTATAAGCAGCAATGAACTGTCCCGTTCTATAGGAAGGGTAATGATAGCGTTGGTTATCATATTGTTTCCCTGTGGACAGACTAATAGTGGTGCACTTTAGTGCAGCATTAAATACATGAAGCATTGATTTTTGCAAAGAAAGAGATTGATATAGAATTGATATAATTAGCTTTTTCTACAGTGACCCCTTGTCCTGCACATGATGCTCTAGTTTCATTTTTTTCTACCTCTTCTACAGGACAACAGATGCCATTGTATAAATCAGTAACTTGTGCTGTCTGCTGATCTTCCTCATCCTCGTCTTGGAATTATGAAAACTACTGAAAGAGAGATGGAAGGGCAATAAATGACAAATAGGTGGTTTCACAATGAATATTGCAAACTTGGGTGTTGATAATTTAGTCCCTCTATAGCAGGGGTGTCAAACTTGCAAGGTCACATGATGTGTCGCGACGAACCGTGGCTTTTTTGCCATTGCCCGGCAATGGGGTGGGCACGGTTTCGCCATGATGCATCTGGCCGTGGGATAACAGTTTGACACCCCTGCTCTATAGTCAAGCTAGAGGCAAACCCATACAATCCAACTAAGCATCATTACATTATGGTAATAAATATCCTTTAAGGAGCCACAGAATATTTTCTCAAGGATGAAGGTATCTAGGGCAACTTTCTAAGAAATGAGGATATGATTACAATGGTCACTTATAGCTAAGGGCTGGCTTAGAATTCCAACACAGTTTCCTAGAGGGGTTATACAAATATATAGCAATATCAGATGATATCTGATAAACAAATGAATACCTATTTAATTTTTGTCTCTACACTATGAATACTCTTTCCTGTAGTATGAATATATGAAGTGAAAACTCCAAGCCTATTCTGAAAAGCATTCGCATTAATCTCACATAGAATCTGGTTCTGTTTGTTGCAAACAGTTAAAGATTCTAGTTGCTTTGCACCACCAAAAACTAGGAAATCCCATGGCTGTAGACTAGAGTAGAAATTAAAAAATCCAAAAACTCTTTAAAAGGTAATAGCAAACCATTTCTTTATTGCTAATGATAAAACTACTTTGACGCATCTATTAGAACTGTGTGTGTATCAAACATTATAAATTACTACAAAATATTGCTTTGGATCTTATACTAGCATGAGCACCAGACCTATCAGCCATTTATTAAAATGGTCTCCTTTTTATCAGGCTGTGGGGCAAACACCTGAAGCACCTGAAAAAAGATGAGAGCATTTTAAAGAGTTCATTCATCGAAATGAATGCATATACAAAAAAACCTTTTATTTCTAGATTCTCATGGAAGCCTGAAAACAGAAGGGGTATTTTATGTTCAGCAGAGAATTGCCTTGTTCCTGTGAG